CAAGTAGTCATGCAACCTGGGTGCAACCCACACTGCTGCAGGGCTCTGACTGTGCCTATGCCTGTGCTGGGGCAGAGAAGTAAGGAGCTGTGCTGGGGTGATGTGGCTGCCACCCTTTTCCTCCTCCCTGCTACTGACTTCCCAAGGTTTTGGCATGGGTGGAGTTGTGACAGGGCCTGGGAGCTGTGCTTGTGTTGATGCTGCTTCTTTCTGGGGAACAGCTATGGGCACTAAAATGGCTCCACAGTATGCCAACCTTTTTATGAGCCACCTGGAAGAAGACTTCCTCAAGAACTGCACCATCAAACCCTTGCTGTACTTACGATATATCGATGACATCTTCATCATTTGGAGTGAGAACCTGGAATCTCTAATTGAGTTCCACCAGAAATTCAACAGTCACCATCCCTCCATCCGACTTTCTTTAGAATACTCCAACACCAACATCCCCTTTTTAGACACAAGGATCAGTATCCAGAAGGGTAAAATACAGACCACAGTATACAAGAAACCCACAGACCAACATACATATCTGTACAGAACCAGCAATCACCCGAAACACACCAAAAAAGCTGTGATATACAGCCAAGCCCTCAGATACCACTGCATCTGTACTGAAGAGAACACCCGGGATCACCACCTCACCAATCTTAAAAAGGCTTTCACCCAGCAAGGACACTCCTCCAGAGAGGTAGATCGCACGTTTGAAAGAGCCACCTGGATACCAAGTGAAGAACTGCTGCAGTACAGAAGAAAAACACCCACAAATCGCACACCGCTGGTTATGACCTATCACCCATCCCTTGAACCTGTACGGAAAATCCTCAAAAAATTGCAACCCATATTAGAAAAAGACCCTATTCTTAAAAAGATCTTCCCAGAGCCACCCATCCTAGCCTTCAGACAAGCACCGAACCTCGCCAACCTCATCACCACAAGCAAACTTCCTCAACCCCAGAACACACCAAAAGGATCCAGACCGTGCCATGACAAGAAATGCAAAACCTGCCCCCACATCTCCACCACCCCCACAATTACTACACCCCACAACAGAGCCAGGATCCCAGGATCTTACAGCTGCACCTCCAGGAATGTAGTATACCTCATCCAATGCACCAAATGCCCTGATGGAAGATATGTAGGAGAGACCAAACAACAACTGAGCACCAGAATGAATGCACACTGGAAATCTATCAAAGACAGAAATACCCAATTACCGGTGGGGGCACATTTCTCACAGGAGGGCCACTCTCTCTCCAATCTCTCAGTCCTGATCCTCAAGGGAAACTTACACAACACACCCCAGAGACTTTTCATTCCATCCAGGAAGAGCACACACCAACTGCTGCAGCTTCCTTAGCCTGACGAAGGGTTTTTGAACCTGAAAGCTTGCTTAATAACTATTCTCCAACCATTTGGGTTGGTCTAATAAAAGATATCAAATTCACCCAAGGAACCTTGTCTGCCTATATCCTTAGACCAACACAGCTACAACCTAAACCCTTGCAACTTTGTAGCATCTGATAGCATTGTAACTTCATAGTCCTGTCATAGCATCTAATGGAGTAAGCTGCTGTGTATAAAAGCATATGCATCTCTGATTTAGTTAGTTTATAAGGAGCAAATCCACCCTGCCTTCTTTATGGAAATTATCAAATAAGGAAGGATTAGTATTCACATCCGGGAGACTTTCAAATGCTTAAGCTTGTATTCTAAATATTTCTGTGCAGGAATTAAAAATAGGCTAGCAAAGCAAAAAAAAAAAAAAAAAAAAAAAAATCCACCTTGCATAATCTAGTTAATGATTCAGCAGTATTAAAGGGCAGCACTTCTTTGAAGAGTAACTCAGCAGACTTGCTCGTCCTGTGTATTCATAGACAGAAGTTGTTGATTGTAGTGGTTAAATTATGGTTTTGTGGGTTTTTAACGCTGCGGAATCAACATGGCTATAGTAGAGGAAGCTGAGTTTTATACCCTCTTTAACATTTTCAGTAGAATTATTTAACAATGATTATATCCACCAGTTGCACTGATTGGTGTAGTTCTGTTTGTGAGTGGGTGATCGATCCTAGTTCCGTCTCCCTCTGGACTCGCCTGCCATGACTTAGATAGAAAGGAAAAGAAGAGGGTTTCAGTGGTCTTTCTGAGGAATCAGTAACGCCACCCAAGTGGTAACTTCTCACAGTGCTGCTTTATTTCACAGCAGGGTGTTGCACAATAACAGTCGCCTCGCTAATTACTTCATTAGCGAGGGAAAGTAATTCGGTAAGGTAATTCGGTGCTCGATGCCTTACAGATACATTGTAGTGATCACCGTATCTATCACTAATTGCCTTGTTAGTGAGGCGCGTTCTCTGCATCTTTTGCATGTGCCTCGTGTTGGGAGCGGCCCTGGCTGCTCCCTTGCTGTCCACACCGCCACTTTCATCGTTGTTGCTGTCCTGATGGGCCGTGGGCTTATGCTAGCTCCTCCTGTCCACACATCATCTCGGAGAGACTCCCTTCACTGTGGACTTCCTGCAGAGCAGCTCCACGGAGCCTTGGTTCTTCCCCGCACTCACGAGAGCCACTGAGGTTCCCAGGTACCTAGCCTGCCTTGTAATTGACCAGTCATGCCGTCCTGAGCCCAGCGGTCCCGGCGTCCTCCTAGATTGCAGGGCAGGCTCCTCATTTTCCTTTTCTTCTGGTGTCTTGGTAGCCCTTTGTCTGTCCTCCCGTGCCTGAAAGCAAAGTGCGTTTGTCCCGCCACCGGATTTATATTGGCCATGGCAGGCTAATCACCCTGCCCTTCCCCGGGTGCGTAATTTCCTTCACCTGGCAGAGTGCATTGTCAGGTCAGTCCTGCCCAAAACTGTTTCAGTAACAGAGCTCGTTCCTGAGCCTCTGTTACACTGTTAAATCAGTGATTTATGTTGATTTTTACACAGTTAAGAATCTGACCTTTTATAGCTCATAGGTTCAGTCTGTTACTTTTGTCCAAACCTGAAGGCAGTTTTTGCTCTCTAGGGGTAATTTTGGTCATAGTTTTGGACTATTCATATTGCCATTGTATTGTGGTAACATTTAGAAGCCAAGATTTTCAAAAGGGATTAGTGATTTTAGTTGTTGTTTGGGTAGAGAAACTTTAGAGAGACCTGCTGTTGTTAAAGAGGTGTAGTTAGACTTGTTAGTCTGAGATCAAGTAGAAGGCAAGGTAGACTTGCACCTTAGATTAACCAAACTAGATACACAGCTCAAGCTTTCATTTGCTGAAGCTCACTTCAGCAGATGCTGTTAAAGAGGTTAGGTACTTGGTACATTCTAAAAATCAAGCCTTTTTATGGTAGAGGAAGTTGGGAACACGCAATCAGTAGTCACTTTTTCAAAATCCTGACCAAGGGCTTCATGTTCCTCATTTGTTACAAAGACATGCTTTGTGTATGAAAAGGCTGTTTTTAGGTAAAAGAACATATACATGAAAAGCTTATATATTACAGTGCCTTACAAAGGTTTACTGCCATTTTACTGTCAGGAAAGATGAGGCTGAGGTATCTTAACAAATCAGTGTTCAAGATGGGAAGAGAAGCAACTTTTCCTCATGTATTCATTTGCTTCAGTCACTAGATGGAAAATGAGGTTGGGATTTGGTAGATCTAGGTTCTGTTCCCAAATTTATTAGTGCATAACAGTAAGTATGCCACTTCACCACACAGGGCCTTACTTACTTCTTCCATCTAGAAAATGGACTAATGATACTGACCCCTTTTGTAAAGCACTTTGATATCTATTGGTATAAAGTGGTTGTTTAGGTTGTAGAGGTCACAGGAAAACCCTGGTGAAAATAATATGACAGTTACAGCACATGTGAAAAAATTTCAGAGCTGGAAGAAGCAATTTGTGTTGCTAATGGCAAGGATGTAGATGCCAATATGTGCACTTGTTGAAACACAGACATTTGACTACATGCATTTTATCACTTAACTATGTAATTGCTAATTAGTTCTGTGCTGCTTAAATAAATCAGCACATTGGTCTGTAGAACTGAAAACTAGTGATAACTAGTATCTGCCAGGAATTTACCTATGGGTGTTTTAATTGGCCATATAACTCAGTTATTTTTAATTGCTTAAAAACGTCCAGGAATTAGTTTTTTGCTGTGGCACTTGGATCATTTTTTCAGAAATTTCCAACTAGCTGACATATAACCACTACAAAGATTTCAAACAATACTTGACATATGTGGTAGTGATAAGTGTCATAGAAAAATCAAAGGACGTGTGGACATGCATGCATGAGCGCGCATGCACTCACACTTCAGTTTTAACTATATATAGTGAAAGTACTCCTAATATGAAAGCAATTTTATCACTGTAAGGGTGCTTCCTATCAATATATTTCACTTCCTATACAGGAATATCTAACTAGACCAATGTAAGTCATCTTTATACTCCTATAACAGTATAACGCCTCCGCCTAGTATCAGTGTGATTATAGCTATTTTCATGAAAAAAAAATTATTGCACCCCACACCAACATCGGTATAGTGGTAAAAAAAATTTCTGTGGCCTGGGATCAAGACAGGATAAGAACAGTATCTATTTTGCCTTCTAGATCAATCCATTTACAACCAGATATCAGCTAGTGATCATAGAAGGCAACTGGGAAAGATAATAACTTACGGTCACTTTTCAATACCTACTTACAGACTGTTTAAATTACCGTAGCAATGAATGTCAAACATTTATTGCCTTGGACTCTAAAACTGACTTGATAGAAGTCTGAGAGAGACTGTTTTCTGAAAAAGTTAATCTTTACAGAAATGTTTTCAGTGTCTCATCTCTTCCCATTTAAGTTACTACTTTCAAAATATGACAGCTCAGAAATTATTTATTTTGCTATACCTGTAAAATATTTTAACTGGAAATATATAAACAAAGTGGAATGATTTCCTTAGAATTGCCTAAAACCATGAAATGTATTGAAATTTACCAAACGAGAACATTTTGCTTTTAAAAGATTTAAAAAATATACAAATTTTACAGGAAACTTTGGATCACCAGTAAAAAAGACTGGACCAAATTCTCTTATGGCCTGCTCTTGAGACGTACTTGGTATTCACAAAACTGACTGAAGACCACAGAATTGGTGAGTATTTTGTTATCTCTTAGAATTGCCCTATTAGTTTGCGTAGCTGTAAATCCAAATGAGAGACACTGGCTGTACATTAAGTGCAACTTATAGCAAATATCTCTCATTGTATGTTTGTGGCAAAAGGGGGTAAGTGTAAAATGGAGCATGTTTATTAAGAATAATTGAAAATACATTATATGTACTGTCATTTTCTTTATGGCAAAAACAAGTTGTTTTCACAGTTTTATATTGTCTAAGTTATTTTCAGTGTCTCTTTGAGCTTAATACTTAACTATTCTAGTGTTCTAGACATCAAACTGGATGGAAACAAGAAGCTTCATGCAAACAAATTTTTATTGTGAAGTAGTGATATAAATTAAACTTTCTTGTCTATTAATGAAGATCTATAGGATATCCAATTACTGCTTTTGGGCTAATCCAAAGAAGTGTTAGTTTGTTTCAACTGACCCCTACTGGCAAGCAAATATTACATTAAGGACAAAAATACTCACTTGGTGCCATGACAGTTTCTTTTGTTTATGTTTCAGGTATTTAATTAAAAATGCTGTTGTCAATAGGAATGCTAATGCTGTCTGCCACTCAGATCTACACCATTTTGACAGTTCAGTTGTTTGCTTTCCTTAATCTTTTGCCTGTGGAGGCAGATATTTTAGCGGTAAGTGCCATAATAATTTTTACATGTAGTTAAAATTGTACAAATAATGGAAACTTCTTTCAGGTTTTCCTAATTGTGTATCCTCTAATGCAGGAGATGTATTAAAGCAGATTTGTAAATTTCATTGAAATTATCCGCACATTTTACCAGGTAAATGAATACTATTTTGAATACTATTTAAAAAAAAGGCTAGGGTTTTCAAAGTAGTTAAATGGAGCATGTAGATACTCATAGATTTTAAGGCTAGAAGGGACCTTGGAAGATCATCGGGTCCAGCCCGCTGCACTACAACATCATTGAAATTGAAGGAAGGGGGACGTTTAACTTAAGATGCCCTTGAAAATCCCAGCCTAGTTTTTGCACACATGCACGCACATGGGCATCTTAAGTTAGGTGTCCCCCTTCCCTCAATATATATAAAGGCTTTGTCTGTCTGTCTGTCTGTCTGTAATGCTCTTAGGGGGTGTGGCGGACCAGTAGGGGGCGCTCCTGTGCTGAGCCACCCACCTCACTGTGCCCGACCACCTACCAGGCTCCAAGTGCCTCCCCAGAGTGCCTCACACCTGCAAGCCTGGGGTACTGCTGCCACCACAGGGGTTGTGGTCTGTATATGGGCCCTGTGCCCCTGGGTTACACAGGCCTGGTAGCCCTTGAAGGTGCTTGACCCACTGCAAGAAATTGGGATGCTTCCTTAGGCTGAAGCACAAAAGGTAGCCTCCCTTAGCTGAACCTAGGGAGCATATAGGCATGCCCAATCCCTCTCCCTGCTAATACAACCATACTGGTTATAGTGGAAAGCTTTATTGGGTAAAGAAGGTAGGCTTGGGGAAGGGTACAGATTAGAAAAGTATCAAACAATAGCCCAGAGCAAACAGTGCCAGCTTAGTAGCTGTTTGAAAAGCTTTACTGCAATGTAGAAGTGATCTTTCTGGTTAAGTTTCGGTTAAGTTACTCATATGTTCATCTGGAGCCTAGAAGAGCTCCAGAGGCTGTGTGTTTACTCCATGTTCCCCAGTATGGCTCTTT